TAAGGAGGAACAGTGATTTAAAGGCTTAGGAACAACTCTTGACACGTTCGAGGACGAACGTATGTTTAAGTGGGGGAGATTGTAAGGACCTAACCGGTTGTTTTGAGCATTTACGCTCCTTTCAACTGTTTGAAGTCTTGAATAACTTCCTACGAGGTATTATGACTTGTGTGAATTTTTGGTTTTGGTTTTAACGTATTTCGGAGTTAGCTTGGAAGAATGAATTTCATGTTAGAAGTTTAAGTTGAGATAGTTGACCGGATATTGACTTATATGTAAACGGCCCCGGAATAGAATTTTGATGATTCCAATAGCTCCCTATGGTGATTTTGGACTTAGAAGCGTGTCCGAAAAATTATTTGGAAGCCCGTAGTTAAATTAGACTTGAAATGACTAAAATAGAAATTTAAGCTTGGAAGTTTGACCGTGGAGTTGACTTTTTGATATCGAGGTCCGAATTTGATTCTGGAAATTTGAATAGGTCCGCTATGTCATTTATGACCTGTGTGCAAAATTTGAAGTCAATCAGACTTGATTTGATAGGTTTCGACATCGAATGTAGAATTTGGAATCTGTTAGTTTTGAATAGGGTGCGATTCGTGTTTTAGTGTTACTTGTTAGTATACTTGGTTGGGGTCCCATGGGCTCGGATGAGTTTGAAAGAGTTTTTGGAAGAGTTTGGTGTTTTGAGCATAATCATGTAATGATCCAAAGGTCCATTTTTAGTTCTAGAGATCGAAATTCGATTTTGAGATTTCCGGAATTTTGAAAATGAATTACAGGAGTGATCTAGGAAGTTTGTTCTAATTTCATCAAGTCGCAATTATGCTTTTAGCGCGAAACATGAGTTAATTGTTTAACGAGTGAAATTGGTATCGCATTGAGAAAATGAGCTCCGAATTGAGTTTCAATTGAACGACTAGGTTCGTATTATTATTTTTGTGACTCATAGGAACAAGAATCGTCGATTCCGAGTTCGTATGATTGAGTTAGAGCCTTTTTAGTGAAGAAAATAACTGCTGGTGCAAGCAAGTTCTGGTGTAGACTTTTAGTGACGGAAAATGGACTTTTAGTGACGGATGGACAGAAATTTAAGGACCAAAAATGGTCATTTCCTTCATTTCGTTTTGGATTTTTGGAGCACGGTTCTTAAGTGATTTTGAGGATTTTTTCACGACTTTGACTTGGGTAATTTTCCTATATCCAAAAGTGATTGTATTTCATAAATCTATGGTTATATTCATCATTTATTTCGGATTTAAATGGAAGAAATCAAGATTTTCGCAAAAGTTTTCAAGAACGAAATTTTTAGATTTGGAGGTCGAGTAGTTATCAGAATTTGATAAAATTGGTATGGTTGGACTCGTAATTGAATGAGTTATCGGATTTTGTGAGTTTCGTCGGATTCCTAGATGTAGGCCCCACAGGCAATTTTGAGTTAAATTTTGGATTTTATTGAAAAATTAGTATTTTCATATGGAATTAATTCCTATAATTAGTATTGACTAACTTGAATTAACTATGACTAGATTTGAGGAGTTCAGAGGCCGATTCACAAGGAAAAGGCATAGCAGAATAAAGAATTATAAAGTTGAAGGCAAGTAACAGTTCTAAATTTGGTCTTGTGGATATGAAACCCCGGATTATGTGTTATATGATCAGTTTTGGAGGTGACTCACATGCTAGGTGATGGGCGTGTGGGTGTGCACCATATGAATTGTGACTTGGTCAAATTCCATGGAACTGTGTAGTTGGATAATCTGTGGTTATCTGTACATTCTCCATGTAATAGAGAAATTGAACCACAAATCATGTTTAGATTATGTGTTGTCACTGTAGGGACCCACATAGGTCGTGTACATGTTGAATTATCTGCTAAATTATTGTTTTGTACTCAGTCACAGTTTACTTGTTTATTTTATCTCAGTCTCTATTATTTATCATTGATGCATCATATTATTATTGTTTCGGCTGATTATCATGAATATTGAGAGCCCGAGAGACTTGAGAGATTTATGATTGAGTGAGGACGAGAGCCTGATTGTGAGATATTATACTATAGCTTGTGAGTTATCCGTGCAGCACGTGAGTTGTCCGTGCAGATCCAGATATTATACTATAGCACGCGAGTTGTCCGTGTAGCACGTGAGTTGTCCTTGCGAATCCAGATATTGATACTATAGCACGTGAGTTGTCCTTGCGAATCCAGATATTGATACTATAGCACGTGAGTTGTCCGTGCAGCACGTGAGTTATCCGTGCAGATCCATATATTATACTATAGCACGTGAGTTGCCTGTGCGAATTATAGCTTCGGATAAAGGAGCCCCGCCGGAGTTTGTACACCCCCAGTGAGCGCAGGTACCTACTAATTGCAAGTGATGAGTGCTGAGAAAATGAAATGGCTGAGTGACTGTGGTCCTGAGAGGACGCATATGATTTCATTCTTTTTGCACTACAATTGTCATATATTAATGTGTTAGAAATTTCTGAAAGATATTATCTTTTTTTTTTCCAGTCAAACTTGATATGAAATTACTGTTGAGTGTTAAATGTTGAACATGAAAGCATGCCCTAAATCTTATGTTGGAAATTACTGTAATTGGACTCAGTTGTGAAGCTCGTCACTATCTTCAGCTCATTATTTAGTATTGTTACTTGCTGAGTTGGTTGTACTCATACTACACCATGTACCTCGTGTGCAGATCCAGTTACCTTCGGACACGGCAGTTGCTAGTTTTTCGGAGCTTTATCTGCGGAGACTATCGAAGTAGCAGCTTGGCGTCCGCAGACCTTGGCTCTCTGTCCTTTCAGTTATTTGTACTGCTCTATATTTCCAGACAGTGTTCTATCTGTCAGACTATGTTATCATTTAGATGCTCATGTACTCAGTGACACCGGATTTTTGGAGTGTTTTATGTCGGTATTAATGAGATTTTGTATTGACATAAATATTATATTTTTAAACTTAAAAGAAATTGTAGTTTATTGAGGTTGTCGGTTTGCCCAGTATCGAGATAGGCGCAAGACAGGTGGGATTTTGGGTCGTGACATAGTCAATCTGACAAAAGTACCTTAGCTGAAGTACATAAAGTTCCGGCATAATATGTTGTATTATGTAACTCCTGCGTATAAACTTCTAGCATATTATGGTGGAACTCCAGTCTCCAGCACATTATCAATTCCAGTAGATTATGGTGGACTCTCATATGTAAAAAATTTGAACTCGAGCATATTATGTTGGAATTTTTCTAGATTTTTAAGGCTCTTTTGTCCAAATTTTATTTTCACATAAAAAAGTTGCTAAATTTCGATTAATTTTGAAACTATGACTAATTTTTAATTAGCAATTTTATGATTTTCCCCCTTCATTTCAGGATTGCATCATGGGCTTTGTCGCTTAATAAGGTTTGCGCATTTAGTTCTATTTTACATGCCACTTGATTTTAGTTAAGTGACGATTTATCAAATTTTGGTGGACATATTACTTTGGCATTTGTGCTTGCGAGTAAAACATTCAATTTGATAAATTACTCGAAGTGCAAAAATTTAAATGCGCAAACTTATTCTGCTGTTAAAAATTGAAACTTTACCTTACATTCACTTAGATAAAGGGTAAGGCTCTCTCTTTTATTTTCACTTCCCCTTTTCCAAACTAATTATAGCTCCACAACAATAATAGCATATTTAGTGTATTTTTATAAGTGGGATCTAGGAAGGATAGTGTGTACGCGACGGTGAAGAAAAATCGGACTATTCGGGGGAGGCTGGAGTGATCCTCAGACCGATGGCCAGTCTAAGAGGACCATCCAGACATTGGAGGCTCCTGACGGTTCCCTTGCAGCTAAAAGAATGAGATAGAACACCTTTTCTGACATCAGGAGATGAAAGCAGTCAAGACGCCAAAGATCGGTGATGTTGTCATGATAAGTGTGGGAAATCGATAGTGTACTCGATGATTGAAGGGCCTATCGACTTGCATTAACTTCCCGTGGCAATAGGGCGACCTTTCGTACTACTGCTGAATCCATGGGCAGGAAAGAGACAACCTGGGAAGCATCTAACTAGTAAGCCCTTCTATTCCGACTTTCCCAGAGCCTCCGGTAGCACAGCCGAGACAGCGACGGGTTCTCTGCCCCTGCTCATTCTTCAACAGGCACGCGGTCAGAGCCCTGGCTCCTCTCAATGCTTGGGAGCTTACAGTTTCATGTTCTGTTTCACTTCAAGGAAAGTACAAACATAACAATTTTGAAAAAGAGATACGGTAATGAAAAAGCTATAGAAAGAGAAGAAATAACAAAAATAAAAAAAATAAAATAACTGAGCAAAACAAATAATAGGTAATAATAGAACTCTAAAAATATGGAATAGATAATACTAGATCTACAAGTATGGAAAACAAATACAAGCATGAAAAAGAAAAATGCTCGACTATTTACTATCTACTATGTTAATCCCCGGCCTTCACACCTTTCGCTTTCCAAAAGATTTTTTGAAAGAAAAGGAATAAGAGAAAGAAATTTTAAATTCTACTTTTAATACTCTCTTCGGTTCACAATAAGTAACCAATTTGCTTTGTGCACATCCATTAAGGAAATACAAAATTCTAGACAAAAATAGTTAGTTTGACTAAACTGCCCTTAATTAAATGTTGCAACATAGTTAATGTGAGGAGTAAAAGACTTTTTAGGGATACGTACATAAGTGTAATTTTGGAAAAACAAATTGAATTTTTTTCTTAATTATATAAATGAACACTTATTTTGGACCAAAATAAAAAAATAAATTGATCATTTATTATGGACAGGAGGAATAATAAACTTTTCATAACTTATGGATTAGATCTTAAAATCTTGACAAGAATTCAAATTATTAAGGGAGTAAAGTGGGAATTAAAAAAAGATCTTAAATTTGCAATACCTAATTTCCTAATTCGGCAATTTTAGCAAAGGACTTTTTTATTTTATTTTTTATAATAAATAAAGTACAAGAAGCGAAAAAGCAAAACAGAAAACCCTTAAAACCCTTTCTTCTTTAAATCCTTCACAATCCACTTGCTCTGCTCTGGACACTTCATTCTACTTCGCTTCGTCGATTTTAAGGTAAGAAGTTTTGCTTTACATAGTATTTATGCCCCTGTTTTCTTGGGTTATTTCTTGTTTGATTTCGTTGGTTTCTTCTTTTAATGTTTCTCGGAAATTTGTTGAGTGAATGCTAGTCTAATTCGTTGTTCTGCCTCTTTGAGCTGTTAGTTTTGTTGTAGTATTATATTTGTCTTGCAGTTTAGCCCCGACCCCAATGACTAATTTCAATAATTAAGGGGCTAAATCAATAATTTTCAACCAATTTTCAGTTACTATAGTAATGGTTATAATGTAGTTTCGTGTTTTTAAGTTTTAATTTTGTTTTTCCAGAAGATTTTCCATCTTTCTTTCGTGGAGGCTATTCTTGCATTTTTCCCATTTCTTTGACCACATAATGTTCAATTTTGGACGGAAGGAGAAAATTTCCACTCTTAAAATGTTCTGTATTTTTAACATAGTACTGTTTTTGGTTTTGCTGATTATTTAAAAAAAAAAAAAAAGAGACTGAGGAACGGATTATATATCGTATTGCTAAGAAACGCTGCTGATAAAGGAAAACCTGGTAGTTTGAGTTTTTACTGATAGGATTAATTTTCTGTACTTAGAGTTGGAAATAGTCAATCGCAAGGCTCTTAACCTTGTGGTCGGGGGTTCGAGCCCCCGGTAGCTGTCTATTAGAAACAACCTCTCTACCCTCAATTTAGGGGTAAGGTCTGCATACACACCACCATCCTTAGACCCCACGTGTGAGATTTACTGGGTTTGTTGTNGGTGAGTGATTTCATCGACGAGCTATTAACGATGGACTTGAAACTTATTCCTGCTTCATAATCCTTTTTTTTTTATCTGTGTTCGGAGATACAACAATAGGAAAAGATGGAGATAGTATCTCCAATTTGAAATGGTTTCCTTTTCCTGTTTTGATTCCTTGATTCAATCTAGTGATGCAATTGTGGTTAATTGACACGGATATACTTTGAGATAAATTGTTGTGGCGTTCGTTATCACTCTAAATGAAGATGACATTGACACCCCACTTATAAGATGTATTCTGTGCTATTTATGCTCTATCCCTTAGCTATTGACAGAATCATACCAGATAATGCTTATACAATCAGCTGAACCTTGCAGATAAACTAAACAACGAACATTTGTTGTCATGAATCTCAGCCTTGTATTCTTCTCACTCAGGACTCATTCATTATAATGTTGATTTGATTAAGCATTGTATTCAAACAATTGTGTAACCACAAAGCAGGGAGTAAGAAGGCGAACAATTTCGCAGCCCTAGCCCTGATGGTTGAGGTATGGTGGTCCTTGTTGGGGGCTGCTATTCCTGCCATTGTAGCTGGTCAAGCTTACAGAATTAGGAGAAATCATGCCGAGGAGCAGAGAATCAAGAGTGCAAGGGGCAGGGAGAAGAGTACTGATGATATTTTCGTGTGCGAGAGAGTCTGTACATCAAAGAGAATGTTGAAGAAGGTGGGTGCATTTTCCAAGGATCCAATCCCCGACACTTGCGTTACCGTATGTGGCGTATCAGAACTTGATGCTTGCTCCGATGCCTGTGCTCGCACTGTCTGTGTTAACCAGCATCAAGTCCCAAACTGGAATGACGTCTGCCTCAGGAGATGTCAAAGTGAATGCCTCAAGCTTTCCTCTTATTTCTCTTCTTGATACTGTACCTGTTTTTACATGATGATTTCTTTGCCAAACTTGTTGAGGCACCATTCTCAAGCTTGGGTCAAATGGTATGTTTTCTTTTTTGCATGTCTTCTCAACTTTGTTACAACTTATCTCACTTTTAGATCAATGGTTTGTCAGCTTGTACCTATAGTTCAGATATGGCCAGTTATGGTGTTATTTTGATGGACTTTCAGCCATTGTAATATCAAAGTGTTGATGTAGTTTATTTCTGGGTTTCTCGATATCAAATTCGAGCAATTGTTAACTTTAATACAAGAGAAACCATATGTGCAAAATGAACACCACCTCTTTGGAGTTCCGAAAGGATTCTGGGATGTTTGGATTAGGATATAGGTTATTGGGACTGGGGAAGACGGGTGGATTATAGAGCTAGAGTAGGGGCAAATCGAAGGCCCATCGGGATTGGGCATGAACGAGCCTCGACTGGGCCAGCATTGATGAATGAACAAAAACTTCCCCTATCGCGTCTCCTCGCCAAGACCTCCCCGGCGACGACAGAGGAAGCAACCCGTCTGCTGTGGCGGGGCGCCTTTTTTCTTTCACAATAACACCTGGACGATTATCCCTACCTTTGGTAGCTTACGAGTTTACGTCCATCCCTGGTCAGGTACAAGTCCGCCGGGGGCGAATAAGAGCTCGGCGAACCGCCATTCTTTACTTCCGGGGTCAATCAATCGGCAGTCCTCCAATTTCTTCTCGAAAGCCTGTTTATAAGAAATAGCTTATGCCACTCGTATTGCCCCGGATTGATAAAAGAGTTGGAGAGTGTGAACATTCAAGTCGACAATCAGCTTTCTAGACAGCTGGTGGACTTTGAAACCAATACCAATGATTTCGCTGGATCTAAGAATAACGTAGCACAGAAAACCGGACTCACCAAGGATGGCGAATGGGCAATACGTAGAGGGTGCTCCGCTTCCTATGGATTGTTTTATAGCGGTACGATTACGATGCTTGCTTCATAATTCAATAAGCAAAGTCCAATCAGTTATCCCTAATTCTTGTGAACTTTTACAGTAATCAAAATTGAATTGTAGACAAATTGACAAACTTATGATGCTATAAAAGATATAGAAAGAAAAAAAAGAGTAAAGATATTACACTACAGAAGTGAAAGGAGGAAAAGCTAGGTTTTTCTCTGTTTTCTTGGTACATATAATTTTTAGAGCTCATCATGTCCAGAAGAGACAGTATCCATTATTTTCTCAGCTGTTTTGTGTCCTCCAGATTCAGTATCCTTCACTTTCTCAGCTGTTTTCTGCACTTTCTGCTCCATCATCTCAGCAGCCAATTTCGCGGTTTCTTCCACTGTCTCTTTGCTCTTTTCAAAACTCTTCTGAGTAGCCTCCTTCATCCTCTCTCCAGCACCTCCATTAGCCTTGCCATCATCCCTGCTCCTAAAACTGTCCATTTTTATTTCAAAAAGATTAGCTTCTCAACTCATTTTCAAAATAACTACTTTGGCGTCGTACCATGAAAAAAGGAACAGAAAAAGAGTACAACCCCGTCAAGGTAGAGTTACCAGAGGCGGATCCAAAATTTCAACTCTATACATTCATCCTTGAAGGTGTTTAGTGTTGAACCTATTATATTTTTAAAATTATGGGATCAGACTTACTATTTGTTGCACTTTTTTGTCAGTTTTTACGCATAAATTTATGTACCGTATCGAAAGTAAAAGATTAAGATGAACCCGACAGGCTGAGGTACATGACTAGTGAACAAATCTTGAGAGTAAAGCATGATGCATTCTTCCTAAACATTAGGTTCACCAACTACAATTATAGTCGTCCAATGGAACTAAGTATACCACAGAAGATGAAACATGCATGTATCAATATAAGAAATCGGAGTATCTAGGGATTTGACTGATTGTTCGCATCATATTTCAGGTTCTCTATTGTACTTTCTAAACAGGGTTGGTTTAATCCTTCCCTAAACTTGTTGCATAAAATGATCAATAACGTTCACAAACCTATTGGTCCTGCAAAATATAGAGAACTACCACGTACCGTAAAAGAACAACTAAAAAGGGCAGTTTGGTGCACAAAGTATTTCGTATTCATATAGGGTTCGGGGAACGACCACACTCCAATAGGTGTAACGTAGGCAACCTACCCTAATGCAAGCATCAGAGGCCGGTTTCATGGCTCAAACCCATGACCTATAGGTTACACGAGAATGACTTTACCGTTGCTCCAATGTAACCACAAAAGAACAACTAAATCATTCAAATATACCAAAGAAAAGAAAGAAAGAGAAATGGACAATAGAACTTACTCTACATTTGGAGGAAAATACTTAAGCTGGAGTTGATTGATATAAGACTTAACCATATCCCAAGAACGCCAAGAAGATGTAACCAACATAGAATAGGCTTCTTCTAGCATTTGTGTGGGAGATTGATCTTTTTGTTTGTCTTTGACATTATTCTGATAATGAGCAGCATCACTAGCTGTGTGAATAATTCCAAAGGAAAATATGATAAGACAAAAAAGAGTAACTACAATTAGTTTTCTAAATAATTCCATGTTTTATTAAATTGTTTCCCTAATTTGGAAAAGATGAAACTTTTTGAAGGTGAAGTGGTTATTATCTTAATGGAGATATGGAGTTTTTGTAGGTAATTAGGTGTGTGGAAGTAATGGAGATTCTACAAGAAAGGAAAATGAGGGGTTCATACATGGATTAGTACTCACGTTCGCACATTTGTCAATAGCTCCCAAACGAGAAGAGCAGCAAAAATAGCAAACAGTTTTTCTTTCTACTTATTTAATTTATTTTTTCTACACACGTTTTTTGCAAAAAAGTTAAGAGAAATATATATTTTTAGCCGCTCTAAAAAATAATAGCCTACAAAATATATTTTTCTTTATATATATGTGTATTATATTCATATAATATACATATTTTATACAGTATTTGACTAGCGAGTATATTTATTTTCCGCCGATCGACCACTTCTGTATGTTGCCCTTAAACTAGTTGGATGGTCAAGAGGTCACCTCTAGAATTCTTATGCATGAGTTCAAATCATGGTGATCAATTAAAAAATTAAGATGTGTATTTGCAGAAGCAGATATCGTAGACTAATTAAGAGACTTTTCTTGTAGACTTTCTAAAGCTTGAGATTAGATTTGTGATGCCTTACTTTAACCAAAGAAAACAGAAAATTATGTTAATATAGAAATTCATTCACTTCTGTTCGGTGAATTAATTAAAAATTTCCTATTTTTCATTTTAGGGGGAAAAGAAAAGAACAAGATCCGCAAAAGATTCAAACTCAACTTGAGATCAAACTGTAAAAATTACACGGGGCGCCTTATTTGGTCGTCTCCATTTAACCTATACTCATTTTTTTTAAAAANCCTACTTTTTAAACAACTTCAGCCTCCTTTCTCATTCTCCTTCTCCTCCTTCGTTTTGTTCTTCTTCTTCTTCTTTCTTCTGCTGTTGTTGGTGCTGCTATGAAACTTCAGTTCATGGGAATGATTGCCATAAGTATGTTTATCAGATTATTTAAAAATAAATTATAAACAACTTTCTAAAGTAAGTTTTGAAGAAGATGATAGTAACTTGTTAGATTCAACTTTGTATCAATGCATTTTAACCTGTTGTGCTAAATCATTTATCTAGTTTTTTAAGTTACTAATTCTACTTATGATAAACTTATTATCTGTACAAAAAATCAATTACATGAGAGCATAAAACATGTTGAAGTTTAGCAAATATAGAACAAAATTTCAGCTAAAACATGCTAAGTTCAGCAAATAGAGAACAAAACTTCAGCTACTAGAATGCTTAAGTTCAGCAATTACAAACAAAAACTTCAGCCAACACTAAGTTTACGTGAAAAATTTCAGCTAAAACATGCTGAAGTTCAGCAAATAGAGAACAAAAGTTCAGCTACTAGAATGCTTAAATTCAGCAATTACAAACAAAAACTTCAGCAAATAGAGAACAAAACTTCAGCTACTAGAATGCTTAAGTTCAACAATTACAAACAAAAACTTCAGCACACTTGGTTTAGCAGTTTTGGTTACTTCCGGTCCGTCAACTAGAATGCTGAAGTTTTGCGTGATTGCCTTTGCTACTTCAGGCTCGTATGCTGAAGTTACGCGAAAAAGTGGATACGCTTGTAATTTTTTTTGCAAAACGGGTACAAGTTAAAGCGTGACCCAAAAGACAGGTATAGATGCAAATGCCCCGATCAAACTGATACTACTATTCTTGAGAGGTTAAAAAAAAGGAAAAAAAAATGTCAATATCGTAGTGTGTCATTTTATAAGGAAAGTAACATGCCTTAAATAGTGTTTTTATAAAAAGAACAATAGAAGAATGTCGTTGAGTACAATGATGTCAAACTCAGACAACTCTATAACAATTCTTGGTAGTACGTATGATTAAGCTTTAGCGAAAAACTAATAAATTTGCCCGCGCTTCGAGCGATCATAAAAGAATTAATGCAAGCAAATATATAAAAAGATTAGTATGCTTATATGGATTTAGATGTTATCTCTTTATAATGAAAAGAATACACTTATATAAATAAAATATATTTGAGTTGATTCGTAATTTTAATTTAGTTAGAACATATGCTTCTCTATAATTTGTAGTTAATCATATATTACTAATGAAATTTATTTAAGTTATATCGAGTTAAGACAGATTCAAGGAGTATTAATAATAAGAAAAGAGATTAACACTGAAATTACATAAAATTCATCTTAAAATTACTAATAACGTACATAAAAATATTTAAATTATTATTAGTTGTATAATGATTACGAAGATGAAAAATTATATAGATGAAATACACTTCCTGATTAGCAACAAAAAAATCATTAGGGAGAGTACATCCTCTTGCCACTGCTTGCATCACAAATTTTAAAACTTGTGTATTGAAGTATTGTTTTTGGAGGGTACATACCTTGTATATGAAATAAACAAAACAAATACCATTTTGTATTTTTTTTATGTCAGTCAATGAGTTTTGACCAAAAAAAAAAAAGAAAAGGTATAGTAATATCACACTCAATAGAAGAACAATAAAACATGTATGAAATATTAAAACAACAAATATCATTTAAATTAATGCATCTATATGCATTACATTCACAAAAATAAATTATGTTTATATTGTCTCATTTTCATGTATTCCTACAAACATTGTAGATACTTCTCCCGTGTAAACAAATCACATGTATAAATGAGTTTCGAAGTAGGTGTGGTAGGAAAAGTAGGATAAATTTTGAATGAAACAACTGGAAAAGACATTAAATGAAGGCAGAGAAAAGAGTGAATGGCCTTTTCTTTAACCTTCTTACCGAGTTGTTTCAACCCCTCAATAGTCGCATCACATTACCCCATCTTCGTATATGATTGTTCACCCTGCCATAACATGATCCGTCCTTCTAGCCTAATGTAGACTTCGTATTTGCATCACGAAAGCAAAGCACTCTATTCCTTATGGGCTTTGAAAGTACCTTTGTGACTTTTGTTGTTTCACTTAGGATACATCATC